GGCTTAACGAACGAGCCGAACACGAGCTGCTTAACGAGCCGAACTCGAGCTGTTCACGAACAACGAGCCAAATTGACAGCCCTAGTAAACGAGCCGAGCTTGAGCGAGCTCAGGCTGGGCTCGTGTTCGGCTCGTTCGAAATTGTTCATGTTCAAAATCGACTCGAGTTCGAAAATGACTCGTGAACAGTGTGTTCGTGTTTGACTCAATTTAAATATTTGTGTTCGTGTTTGTCTCGTGTTCGGCTCGAAATTGACTCGTTAAAATTAAACTGAAAAAATAAATGTAGAGTGCTGGATTCGAACTTGAACCAAATGTAAGCAAAATAAGGTGCATAACCACATTACAACAAGACCAATTATGATTTAAACTTAGATATAAATATATATAATATATTATTATATAAATAATATGTGTAATACATTTTGATATAAATAATTATATAAATTTTTTATTTCGAGTTAAAATGAGCCGAATACGAGCGAACAAAGAGTTGTTCGTGTTCAGCTCGTTTACTTAACGAACGAGCCGAACACGAGTTGTTCGCGAACATCGAGCTATTTTGACAGCCTTACATATGGGCAAAACAAAATTACAAAAACAAATATATTGATCCTAAAAAACAATACAGTATAAGTACATTGGATTGCCTCTATATGCCTCAAAAACAAAATCCAAGGCAAATATGATTAAAACTTTGAAAAAAAAGAAGAAAAGAAAAACTGATAATCATTGAGGATGAGCAGAAAAACATACCAACACCCAAACAATACTGTTTTCATCTAAATTAGCAAAATCAAGGCTCTATATCCTACGTTTAAAACAGGGGAAAATAACTAGGCCATGAAGCTATTTCTTAAGAACATGCTTCGAATACAAAGCGAGAATATCCTTCTTGTTAGGATTCTTCAGCTGTAGCAGCTCAGCACCAAAGCCATGCTTCGTAAGCTCCTGTTTCAACGTAACAACAGTGAACTTTGTATAATCTTCTGTATCATTATCTTGAAGCACCTGGCTCTGGTTTTGATCATCATCCCCTCTATACACAGACCCGCCATCCTCAGTCAGGTTCAGTTTCAAAGGGCTCGTCGTGCTCTTCGAACGTTTTTCTTTCCTATTAATCTCTCCATCAAACTCCAAATCATGCACAGATTCAGTTGCCGGTTGATATTCTGTCCTTGAACGCCTCCCATGAGCTGCCCTGAGCTTACTATCATGTGTGGACTCATTAAGCCGAATAGTGGTAAGCTCCTGCTGCAGCACATCGAGCTTACTTAGCTGAACTGAGAGAGCCTTGGCTCTGTTGTTCGCCTCGGCGTTGGCAGCACGCTCCGTGGCCAAGAGAGACTCGAGAACTTGTACGGTGCTCGATCTCTGCTCGTTATTCTTGCTAAGCATCGCCTCCATTTCTTCATCCCTCTCTTGAAGCCTTCTCTCCAGCAAATCTGCTTTCAATACAGCTTCAATTTCGGAAGAATGAACCCTCTTAACATCCTCCATTAGCTTAGATTTTTCTCTCTCCAAACCTTCAATCTGCCTCTGCATTCGTTCGATTAGTGTAAGCCGTTCCATGGCCATGTGTTGAGACTCACTCTTTTCTTTCTGAGCAGCAGCAGCCTCAGCTCTAGCAGTATCAGCAACTTCCATGGCATTCTTAGCTTCTCTCTCTGCGTTATTGCACCTATTTTGGGCTGCATCAGACTTCTTGCATTCAGATAGATATTTTTCCTGAAGATGATTCTTTTCTTGCTCAAGAATTTTTAGTTCTTTCTCTTGTGAATGGGAGCTTGATTTGAAAGAATCCAATTTCTCAGTTAGAGCTTTAACTTCCTTCTTCAATGCCGAATTTTCTAACTCGTGGCTCTTCAGACCAGATTCCACAATCTGAAGAAAATTTGCCTCTCTATTAAGATCATATTTGGCATTAATATACAACAACTAAGAAAAAGACAATGCCACATATACCTCCAATTGTGAAACTAAACTGCTTGCATGCATCTCAGTATGGTCTATCTTCGCAGCCAGCTTCCTAATTTCTTCATCCTACAATACAATATAAAAAATAATTTTTTAGATTTCACACATGAAGAAAAGAAAAATTTACGTACGTAGCACATAACTCTTCTGTATTTATATATCTCACACTTAAACTTTCATATTTATATACATAATTCTTTGGTGCTTTAACTCTATGCATGAAAAGATGTATTCCAGTTTTTCAAAAGAAAAATAGAGCCATCTTTTTTGCATGATATTAAAGATTTGAGCGATAGGTGTAAATATGGAAGTTTAGATACAAGATATGTAAACACATAAAAAAAACGTGCCATGCATGTAAATGTCCCAAAAAATATACTGATATCATATATTACCTTCTTAGCTATTTTACTGGATAATTCAGTTCTCAAAGCATCCTCCCTCTGCTGCGCCTTTTTATTGGACTGTTCCAAAGTCAGAGCTGCTCTATCACGAGCAGTTTTAGCTTCTCCAAGGGAAAATTCATATTTACGCTTCCATTCTTTTGCCTCTTCCTGGGCAGCATTTGACTGTTCTCGTAAAGCAGCCAACCTTCCTTCAGTTGCACTGTTTCTGGACTCCAAAGCAGCGGCCTGAAACTTCAATTTCTCTTCCACCGCCTTTTGCTCGGACAAAATATGCTCATATTTGATTTTCCACTCAGCAGATTCGCTCTTTGCAAGCTCCAAGGATTTCGTTATGCTTGAACAACGCTCCTCCAATGTGCTGCATTTACTCTTCCAATTTGCAATATTAACAGAGTAATCATCAGCAAATCTTTTCTTATCATTAACAGCGTCCTCGTAGCGCTTCAGATAGTCGGCCCTGTGCTTCTCATTTGCCTCCAATTGCTTCTTCAGTAGCTCCAATTTGTCATCATTTGAATTGCATCTTAATTTGAGGGCATTCATTTCTGATTTGATCTCATACAACTGCTTATTGTGAAGTTCCAGCATTGGCCCCTTCAAACTGTTAAAGCAAGAAAAAAAATAAAAGATGGTCTTCAAAAGTCATAAATTAGAACTGGGATAAGTGAAATGTTTGGTATAACTTCAAAGCAGCTCATATTAATAATGAATTTTATGGTTGATTAAAATAAGAGCTTAAAGTAGGCGTTCATGCCAATGCTATCATGATTGAGGATTGTCATGCCATTTTCACATTCTATCCTAGATTGTAGAAAGCACGAGGGTAGTCCATACCTCTTCAATATAAATGAAGCCAACATCTCCGATTTTCCACTACCATGAGTAGAGGACTCATAATCATTAACTAAACGGTCCAAAACCTGCAGGAGCATGTATCATAAACATTAATGTTTAATCTAATTCAATATAAGATAAAGCATAATAGATACATTTATCACAAGAAATAAAGATGAATAAAATCAAAGGGCATTACATGCTTCCCACACAATTCTTATGTATTTACATATCCAAGACATAAAATTTGATATTTGCCTGCACAACACTTCAGAGTCATAATCTCATCAAAACATATGCATGAAAAAGAGTATTTCAAATTAAAAAAGTTATTAATAAAGGAACTTTTTATCTGATATGAAAATTTTGAGTGTAATGTAAATATTAATGTTTAGGTGTTAATATGAAAATGCATAAGAATTGTGGTGCCTATGTAAATCCCCCTAAAATAAATCAATAAAAAGAGCTACTCCGAAGTGGATGAATCTGAATCTAATAACAATAATGATAACAAATACATAGTAGCCAAAGGAACGCTGAAAGTACACTAAGTATAAATTAGTAGTATCTATACATTAACATATAACAATTTTATGACAATTAAAGCTCGTTGTAACAAAAAAATAATGTTTAAAAAAGGTGGGTAAAAACATCCAACAAAATATTATTAGCACATTATGAACAAAGGAAAAAACTCTTACTGAAACGACATCATCAACATTTGCATTGGGAACATGGCAAGCAGCTCGTAACTTTTCCTCCATGGTTTTTATTAATCTTGAACACTGCAAATCAGCCGCAAGGAAGGCACTCCTTTTATATTCCTGCGCCAACATTCAAGCATTGACATGCCAAGAAGAATAAGCCTATGTCTATAATATCACTAAAAGATTCGTTGATGATGCTTGATAGAACTTGTAGTACGATAGTGTAAATACACAGCACTTCCTCTAAAACTAAAAGATTAATTCAGCAGTGATAAATTATCTTTCGCAGTTATTTCTGATTTTACATGATAATTAGCGTGGTCTTTTTATATGTCACAATGAGATAAGAAGTGTCAGATAGTGACAATGCATTCATCTGAATTTATTGATCAAAGATAAACATGACAATATTTCACCAGGTCAATTTCAAAAGCCTGCCATCGTGAAAATTAATTAAATTTTATTCTATGTTCTTTGTGTAATAGGGGAGCAATCATGCCAGGTTTGGATTGAATTTTTCGAATGTAAAAAACAATTTTTCAATCATATCAATCAGCTCAAATTAAGAATTAAAAAAACAATACAATATCTATTTCAGTTTCCTAAATTATAGTGGTATTATTTATTTTCATGTATGGAAAGGTCTTGAGGTAATACAATTATAGAATGGACAAATTTTTAACGAGGGAATTTGGTGTTTTTCCATCTGGATTGTCCTCCTTTTTGACAATATTTTTTCATTTTACTTATACCCTCATTGATTCAAAGAAAAATAGTATTAACTTCTTACAAAAACTAAAGTTTACAAAGAGTTAGTGCTATCAATTTTTGGATGGATTTACAAATCAACCAACGTTAAAGTTTGTCAACCCTAACAAATCATTTTCTCTTATTTCCTATTTTCCTACATCACCACTGCCTTCAATAAGCCTTAAACACTTCACAAAAATTGATCATATGCCTTCCACAAATACCAATCTTATTGTCCATCTATTTTGACTAATTGATATAAAAAATTCATACCTACTCACCCTATCCATAAAAGAAAACACAGCCTTTGACAACCATAAAATTTCAGCTAGAAATCTATCTAGAAACCCTAAATAAGTTAATGCTTTTCTTAGACTTCCAGCAATTCTATAAATTTTCCACCACCACTCCAATCACACTTGAAACCTCTTAACGATCTCCCCATCACTTATCTTGCCACTAAGAGCAAGAAAATGCCAATTTCTATAGATTTAGATCTCCATACAACAATGAAGGATCGGAAGCTTTCAAAAAATAATAACTGTCCTATGATACCAATGCTATACAAAAGAAAGTGAACGCACAAATTAAACTTTAAATCACACAAACTTCATCTAAAGTATAAATGAAGTGAGCAAAAACAAAACAATTTGAATCAGATTTAAAAACATAAAATAGAAAACCAACAAAAGAAACATGGCAAGATCATTTGGCGTTTACCTCAAATGTCTTCTTGAAGAAATTATTAAGAAGTTTTTCATAATTCAGCCGTGCTGAGCCAACCCCCACAGCGTTAGAATTAAAGACATTAAGTGCCTTCTGCATAGCAACTTCATGCGCTTCTCTTAAAATATCCTAAAATAAAACAGAGTGAATAATGCATTCATATCATGATAAGGCGAATAAATGTTCGCAGAATCGTACTTCCTCAGCTGGTATGGTGCGATCAAAGGAAGATGTGTACATCTCAGTAGCAGCATCATACGCTCGACGGCATTCTGTCTCCTCAACACTCTGGAGGGTGTAGAACATGTGATCATAAAGTTAGATAAGCAAAAATGATTCATGAATTTTAAACTGTCATTTTTAAAATTTTGCATAGAACATAGGTAGTTTTGTACTTATCTAAAGAAGATAAATCTAAAAATGTCCTTTGTTTAAAGTTGCTCATAAAATAATTATAAAAAAAATCATAAATAAATACAAAATGAAATGAAAAATCTAAAAAGAGAAAATCCCACAAGAAGATTAACCTGCCAAGAGGAAGATATTGTAGGCACAGCACCCTTGTTGATGGCATCCAAGAATGACTGTGTAATGCCAGCAAGAATAGGACCTGTCATAACAGAAGCACCAATTTGTTTAGGCCTCGTTCTCTCGAAGATAAACTCTGTCAAGGCATCCAGGCTAGACCTAAACTCAGGACGTAATCTATCAAGCTGAAAGAGAGAGAGAGATCACAAAAAATGTCAACAACGCTGGTTAAAAGTTAATGCTTCATAACAAAATTCATGATTTCCATACAGGTATTTGGTCCAGACGCTGCAAATCACTTTCATTGTTCAGTGGCCGCACAAGAGTAAAACATTCTCTATCAGGGAAAAGGCCACGAATGGACTCCCTAATCTGTCAATAAATTATTAATAATAAGCAAATCCACTTGAAAGGGTACGCAAAAAATATAAAAGTATAAAGAAAAATTGCACTGCTAATAAATGATAGCCAGCTGCATAAGTACACAAAATAAAAAATTTATTGAATACAAATGAAAATGCATTTCACTACCTCATTCTTTGCTGATATGTCTTTTCCTCCACCTTGAACATGCCTCAAGGCTTGTTCTAAATAATCCCGGGGAGTAATTCTTCGGTTGTCCTCCACCAAATCCAAGTAGAAATCCTGACAAAAAGAGAACAATTTAAACAGCAAAGTTAGCTAATTCCAAATAGAAAGCATATGTATGGCATCAAATAAAACGAATGGTATATCGTCACCCTCAATAGCCAAATGAAAACTGGAGAGAATTGTCCGAGTTCAGATGTTGTGGTCCTCCCAGAAGCTCGAACACGAATATGTTTAGTCATTTGGGTAACCAAGGATAAGCGGTCAAGTGCAGCCTCATCAATACCGCCCATCTAGCCGAGAAAACAACATAGAGGTGACCATAAAATGAGTTTGTTAGCAAGCCATTTAATGATAAGGAAGTAACATAACAAAGTTAAGACTACTACCACAGAAACTAATGAATTTGCAGACATCTTTTTACAATATTTACTATAATCAATATTTAAAATTACACAATTGGGTATTGAGGAATTTTTCGTTCGTGAGCCAAGGTATAAGACTCGAAGTGTTTTGAGGTTTAAGTCTCAAATTTAAAAAATTATATAAATAAATAAATATTGTATAAGCTATTAATATTTTAACTTATTAAAACATTAAACAACAATATAACAACATTTTAAGTAAAAAATAATAAAATGTGTTAAATTAGAAGTAACATGTTAATATCCTAAGATCATACTATGAAATAAGTTGGATTATGCAAACATTAAACTATCAATATAAAATAATATATTAAAATAAAATACTAAAATATTAAAACATAAGAATCAAAATAAGTTTAACATCAGTGTTTCCCTCCAATTGATACTCCATCAACTTAAGAAGAATATAAAAATTCATCAACATTTGAATTTTTAAATTTAAAAGTTTCTATTACTTTCGTCACCCACTTGAATTCTATTAAAATCATCGACATAATGAATAGTTTAACTTGTGTCTTATCCTTGACGTTATCTATATTCTCTCATTTCTTATAATTTTTAATCTCAATTATCTTATTTTTTTAATAAATAATCATTAATAAAAATATTAATTAAAATAATAATTATATTGATAGTTAGAACTTCAACTAGATAATTTTTTGTGGATACATTTTCTTTTTATTTTTGTTATTTAATATGTGCGGTGTGAGGGTTAATAAGTGATTTATATTAATATTACTTTTATATTTATTAAAAAAGATGTGTCGATAGCTCCAAGATTTTGAATAGTTCTTTGAAGCGAGACGTGCCTCAAGATGTGCCTCAACTTATGCCAATGAGGCAATGAGGCATAAGCCTTATTGCAATTTTTTGTAAAAAGAATCGAGGCAAGCCTCAAGGCACGCCTCATATTACGTAATTTTAAAAAAAGAGTACAATAAAATGTTTTGCCCAAATATAACCTAGAATTTCTACATCACAACCAAGCATTATACAGGCAACATGAATAATAAATTTTATCATTATAAAATAACTTGAACACAATACATCTCATTCTACAAATTAGGAAAAAAAACAAGAAATTCCTACCTGATTGTATATGAACATGCTTGATAAAAGAACAGCTAAGGAAAATATCTGGATACTGTAAGTCCCCTGCGAGTAAAGAGCAAATATAAGCTAAGCGTAAATAATTAGCTCATTTGCTTTCTTCTAAGAAGGAAACAACAAGGCAATAAATGTAATAAGCATTCCCCAAATATGCTAAGCCTACTGCACAGCAATTGCACATGAGATATGTATGAAGGTACACAAAACTTTTAATTTCAAATGTAAATAAAAATGTAAATTGCCCAAGAACTTCAGCATCAAAGATAAAGGATTCAATTCAGATGAAAAAAACACTAAAATTATTCAACTAAAAGAGTCCAGTATTTTCAAGCTGCTATAATAAGGGTATAATCCACAACAAGCAGATTCACTAAGCCTTCAGAAGCCCACTGCAGAATATACATTTTGGAGGCATTTTTGTTTTATGTAATAGAAAAGAAAAATATTAACTCTGGGATAGCAAAACAATAAATTCAAGCATAAATTTTAAACCTCATCTTTCCCACCTATGAGATCCTGGTTTTGACAACTCATGCAGTAGTGTAGCTTTCTCAAGTGCAAAAGTATACAACAAATATCAACAAGTAAAATGAAAAACAAATGAACTTAGAAACTAATTCAGCAAATTTTCAGAAGGTTGAGAATGAAATCAGTCTTCCAAAATTGCCAAGAACGCTTAGCTAGCCTACAGTCTGACAGCCAAAAGTCTTCAGCCTAGTTACCCATAAATTTGCACTATAATATCAGTGATGTAACCATTAGGGCACTTGTTTATATTGCCACCATTCTGACCAATAGGTCATGACATAAAATCACATAAATAACCCTTCTAAAATGTCGGGATAAAGCCACTTACATCAATAAAGCTAGAAACTACATTGGCAAAACAAACATGGCACACCATTTATTTGAAATAGAATATTAATTAGCAAATATACCAATAATTGATGTAAATAAAAAAAATATTACCTACTTAACTGAATTAGAAACATTCACTGCATAAGGTAGCAAGCTGATTGCTATGATTTCAGTCTACTTGATCATTGTGAATCCTTTAGTAAGGGCTTAACAGTTCGAGTACTTGCTTTTGAAGAAAAAATTAGAGTTGCAAAAGTAACTACAAAAATCATAAAACAATAAAATAACCAAATCCACTGAATATTGAAATATTTTAGAAGATATTTGTACGAAACTAAAATATCCAATAGATTAAAAAGACAAGCCAGGCATGGTTGGAACTGAAAGTCAGAAACAATGAATTAATTAGAGAACAAAATTCTTATTTCAGATCGCAAATAGTTTTATGTGTTGTTTTATAAAAAATGCAACAAAAGAATAACTTTTGTATGGGATGAATATGAAAAAATGCTAACCGTTTGATCATAGGCATCAATCCCTTCACTGTCCAGAAGTAAGAGGTTGTATTCAGTTCCATCAAGGGCTGTTTTCTTCAACGGTGCACTCCACATCCATAGTCCCTTAGTGCAAGGACGATGAGTAGAAGAAACTTGGAAACCACTACTCCTTCCCAGAAGCTATCAAACGTAACATACATGCAACATAGGATAAAATGAATGATAAAATACTAACTACAAGCCACATGTGCAATATATCAAATAAATAAATAAAAGTGTACTTGTAACACCTGCTATAACGAGAATAGTTACTAGGATTGAGTTTGTGCAATATGTTTAACAGATTACAAAAAAAAAAAAACACAAGTTTCCCTAAACATTTCAAATTTCAATATATATGTATGTCACAAACACACACACACAAACACACTACAGACACTCACACATGTATGTATGTACATAAATATATATGTATTTATGTATGTATGTACATAAAAATGTATATGTGTCTATAAATATAGATATATGCACGTATACATACATAGGTATGTATGTATGTATGTATGTATGCATGCATACATGTGTATGTGTGTTGTCTGAAAAAGAAAACTTAACAGTTAAATGCCCTTGGGAGAGAATAGAAAAAATATTAAACATTAATAAAATAAATTAAAAAAAAAAAGAGACCAAAATAATAAAATTTTGAGCCTATCTGGAAAAACTTTCTATCAGCTTCGTTTTTACCACTACATTACCATTTGATTAACGATCATTTGGCTTGGTTCCAAAAAATGTTGCTATATAGTATAAATTCTTATGACAAAGCACATCTTATGTTTTAGTGGCATAGCTACATTTCAAGGCTTCTCAATCCAAAATATCATAATTGTCATCTAACTACAAAAAGTGCATGATAACTTCAAACAAAACAAACCATATTGGAGAAAAAATTCTTACTTCACTGATTCCCATCCCCTTTGGAGTTTATACAGCATTAATTGCATAGTCAACAATAATGTTATGAAGTTTCAATTTAATAAAAACTTTAAAAAAAGAAAAATGAGGTTATTGAAACCCATAAATAAATAACTAGAAATTCATCCTTAAATGCTTTCAAGTACAATAAAAAATGGGAACACAACCTTAATTCTTTTCCTTCAACAAACTATTTAATTCATGTATTTCATACACATCATTATCAATAATTATAATATCATTTACTATATCCCTTATTTTAGAATTTTACAGCCACTATGTGACCAACCTTTCATTTTTTAATACCAACCAGTAGATGTAAAACTAAACTTTAGGCTCCGTTTGGGGCAACTTATCCGCTGCGGCGGCGTTTTGCTGCCTCACCGTTTGGAAACTGTGTTTGAACAGCTTATCCAAAAACGCAGTTGGTTTTTTACACTAAACACGAAACGTGGGTCGAACCCCGCAATCCGCGTTTCCAGATAAGCGACTTATCTGGATAAGCACAAGTTGCCCCAAACTCACTCTTAGTGAATCAAGCCTTGAGGATTGAATTAGACATATGAAACACAAACACGGGGATGGACAGAAACATAGGACATAGACATGCCACGTCTCAAACACGATATAATTACAAAAAGTAAGACATAACGTGTCATGAACATGCTTTTATATTAGGGCATTTACATACATAACGTCCAAACTCTACTTTTAATATTTATAACACCCAAATATTTTATATCACATAAAAAAAGACCACTATTGTAACTTCTAAAATGTGAAATACACATTCTCATGCATAGGTAAAGCGGCATAAATATAAAGCTTGAAGTTTAGTTGTGACTTATGTAAAAAAATTGAAATTAAGTGGAATGTACATAAATCTTCCTTCTATATTTAGTATATTTTTAATCTAAAATAAATCTATATTTACTAATTAATAAATTAGAAGTATAAAATAAATTAGGAAAAGTGTATGTGCCTTCATTGCCTCAATAATCATCCTCCCTTCTACATCCAAGAGTAATTGATTTCTCTGACATATCATCTTCCTATCGTACCTTCCAAAAAAGCCTTATTGTATTTAGCGTCTCTGAGTGTCTCAACGTGATATAAATCAATTTAGGTGTAATTTTTTTTAAAACTTTCCATTGAGTTTAATTTTTCGGCACATTGTATTGCATTGTGTGTCATGTGCCATTGTGTCCAACATTGTATCATTGCCAAGTCGTTATGGTCTCGCTGACTTGTCGGAGCCCAATTTTGCTTCCAAAATAGGTTGTCACATATCGAAGCATGTCGAAGTCATGTCCGTGTTCGACAAGTATTTGACACATACACGTATGCCATTCGAAGTGTGTGTGACTCATAGATAAAGACAAAATCTTTCAACTTACAAATTCTCTTTCCCAATAATTATAATATCATTTACTCTTCCCCATTTCTTCAAATTTTACAACCATTATGTGATCAGCCTTTCATGATTTAAATCCTAAACGAATCAATGTAGAGAATTGAACCTATTGAACCAAGCTCATGTAATTGTTTTAAAGCATAAAGAAACTTTTTCAGCTTACATGCTCTCTTTCCTCTTCCAATTGAAGGCTTGAAAGAAGTTTCACATATGCTCCTCTTTTGATTCTGTTTAAAAAAATTTTTAATGTCAATTTCATAATATTCTCGCTCTAAGTTTGCAATTATATATAAGAAAATACATATAGTACTAAATTTTATAACTATAGAGTAAATGTCTCATCAAAGTCTATTCCCTTAATTTTGTGTGAGGCTTTAAGCTATTAATTAAGCCATATATTTATCAATTGATTCATTCGTCTTATATTTGATAGTAAGTAATTACTTGCTTTTAATTACCTTCTTATTTTCCTTTTGCACTTTGGCTCTAGATTTTCTGCACTTCGTTACTATATTTTAGTTACAATACCTCTCAATCTTGGTGGTAAATGCTCCTTCAAATGTGAGGTAAACCAAGTTTATACCAAATAATTAGAAACTGGATATTCTATGCAAAATATGACACCATTTCTAAGCGCAATAAGCAAATCTAGATTAGCACTTGCAGCCTCCTCAATTTGACCTTTTTGTGGGTTTGATGACGACTACATTGAAAATTATGTTTCCATGGGTAAATCAAAATTAATTTTTTCATAAGAAACTCTTCTCCCAAATTGGTTATTTCAATAGCTTAAGAAAGTCTTTCAATGAGAAGAACTGGGATATTTAGACGTGGAAAGGGAAATAGTGGGGTCCCAACAATATTCCCTATTGAAATTTTCTCCTTGTTCAGTAATACTGGAAAAACAATTGACACCCTAAGAGAGTGACATCAATAGAAATCCAATAAATTTTTTAAGGTTGAAGAGGAACATTGCCTTTTTGAGTTGGAAAATATCCAATAGACATGAATTTGAAGGTTCTTGAATAAGTTGACTTTAAATGGGTTGTTGATTGGGCACATAGGTAGTACACACAAAATTCTTGGTGGAAAAGAAATGATGACTCTTAAGTGAGGGTATTAATTAAGAAAAACACTTATAAGCCAGTGGGTTAAACAGAAATGACAGTGGCTTTCCCACAATAGGAGCTTTAGATAGAGTCACATAATGAAACTTGCAGCCACTAAGAGATGATTGTTCTTTCTTTTGGTTGCTCCATTTTGTCAAGGAGCATAAATACAAAAACTCTAATGGAGTATTATATATCAAATAGATATAGAGTAAACTCTTAGAAGAAATATTTTTCCCCATTACTGGTATGAACAATTTAAATGGGGTTTTGAAACACATTTTTGCTGAGTTATGAAAGCGCTTAGACAAGGCACAAGACAAAATCTTCACTCATGAGATGGATCCAATAAACCCTTGAAAAGTCAATGAATAAAATGAATCATCGAGTTCCCATCAAGCTTGTAGATCTTGTGGGTCCCCGTATGTCATTGTCAATATGTTAAAAGACCATGGATGCCTTGTAGAGTTTAAGAAAAATTCTTTCAATTTTTTTTTTTTTGCAGGATCACACATTTCATAGTTGAAAAAGAGTTCTTATCGATAAACAAGTTTGGGAGTGTCGGCCGTTTTTTACCTTTTAACCCTTCGTGATTTGAAAAAGTGAATGATTTTGTGATTTTGAAAATAATTTAAATATAAATATAACCTTTTTTTGATTTTTTTTTTAAATGTAACATTTTAATTTTAAAATAAGTGAGACTAAAGAATTTTTTAGATGATTGAATACAATACTAAGGGTAATACACTTATCCCGAAGAATAAATATATCACTTGTAATAGGAATTCAATCACCTAGACTAAAGAATTTGTGACATCCATATTGGTCTGCGAAATATTTTATAAAAAGACCAACAAGTTCCCCTACCTAACATAAAAAATTAGATAGGGTTTATTTTATTTGGGTTCCTGGTCCCCTATAGAGGCAAGCCCCTATAGTTAATTACATCTTATATGATTAAAATCACTTAAGAAAACTCTCGATTAAGATCAGGTGGTTTTGCCTTCAAGATTTCAAAGTTTAAGTTTTCACGATTGGACATGGAAAAATCAAATGGGAATGACTCAAAATAGGAACAATTATTTAAGGAATCCAAAGAAAAGAAAAGTAGGGGATATCACAGATCTAGGGAAAACCCCGGTGAACTCCCAACTATCCTACTGTTTGGCTTTATGTCTTTTGAAATGATTTAATTTAATATTTTAATCTTGTAAATTATTTATGATTTAGGACTCATGTTTACACAATATCGAACTGTGCAAATAGTCTAAAAAGATGGGAGGATTTACACCGTACCACACAATAACCTCAGAATCCTAAAGCGTTAGGACTTATAATTGTACAACAAAATTGTACAAAAAGCCTAAAGAGTGATCCTATAGATTGTTATTTAAACTAAAGATAATAATAGGTGATGTGAATGTGTTCATGTGATGTGAAGATGTTTCGTTGTTGCAGATCCGCTTAGAAATTATTCCTCGTCGCGCTGCCCACGATGTTTGCTCCAAACTCCTCATAGTAGCACCTCCTGGTTTAGTTTTAGTTTTAAACATGCTCTTAACCACTAGGTTATCCTAAACTAAGGCATAGCATATCAAAATAACTAAGTATGCAATGTGAAAGAAAAGTAATAATGCACTGTATAGTAAAGAGAAAAGACAATATAACATGCTTAAAAAAAA